ATTTGTTGCTGTGAACAGCAACAAATCGAAAGCGTCTATCATCGCTCACATGAGCTGTTATAAAAATTCAAGAGGAGTACTGTATCATTTGTAGTGTGTGTGTTTTTTTTGTCGGAAAACCGCTTTACGTCAATAATCTCATGCACAGGTTTTTCTCACTTCGTTCCCGTTCTGTCTCTCTCATCAGAAGCTAACCGATGCGACAGTTTCGCGAATAATTGCTGCACATCCCTCGAAAGCCGGAGCTTCGCCTGGCACACACAAGCGGCACTGCGGTCATTATTCTGTGAAAATGACGCCAGTCGTGCGACAGTCCTTGTCAACAGCTTTATCCTCAAGAGGACGCCTACAGGCGTTTGCTGCATCGACCTTCTCATTTACAGTATGGTGTGGTCGGAGATGGGATATAGGAAGAAACATATGCTCTTCGTCGTCTTTGCCGTTGCTGCGCAGATCGTTTCAGAGTGAATACCGCCGGTATACCGGTTCTGCCAGCTTTGGCTCATCCAGAACTATCATGAAACAACAAGCTCCAAAAAGGGCAAAGCCAAAAAGGGCAAAGCCGGAACTAGCAGCTGACACCAAAGACATTGCAGAACTCTCACAGGAATCATTGGCCGCACAGATCAATAAGAAGAGCAAGGGGGGTGCTGCGAGAAAGATTGTGACGCTATTGGAAGAGACGGAAGCTGGAACAAGCGATTGGGGCGCTGCGGGAATTCGACCAGATGCGAGGACCTACCGAGTGGCAATTCGTTCCTTGCTAAAACTAAACCGCACTGAGCTTGCAATTCATGTATATCGAATGCGAATGGAGGCCCGACTGAAGCGAACAGATGCCATTGCGTCAGATCTACCGCTTGCAGCGAATATAATACGTGCAATTCTTCGCGATGTCAAGAATAGAAAAACACAGGCGAGGGATCGGGATGACGTCTTCTCGGAAATGAAAGCTGATTGTGCGGCATTCATGGACACTTTATCAGTCGATAATAATCAGTCCGATCCCGGCATTGCGAAGCACGTTGGCGCCTTGCTGCAGGTCATGAACGCCTTCTTGACGGCTTCTGATACTGCACGTGCTATAGAAGCCCTTCAAACGATTCAAACACTCCCCATACAAGATGACGCGGCGGCTTTGCCAATTAAGGAGTACAACAACTGCATAAGAGTTCTTGGCAAGAGCAGGTCAATGCCGGGGGTGTTCGCAATTCTGGATTTGATGAAGGCCAGCAAGGTCGAGGCGAACAATGAGACGTATGAGTTTCTCGCGAATGCCGCCGTTCGTCAAGTTGATTTCGTCACCGGGGCCGTTTCTATGGATACCCTTCCACCTCCAATTACCACTGAAGTTGCTTTTGTGGGGAGGTCAAACGTAGGAAAGAGCTCCCTTGTTAACATGCTTTGCAACCGCAAAGCCTTGGCGTACGTTAGTGGAACCCCAGGCAAGACGCAGCAGTTCAACTATTTTCACGTCAACGCAAAGGATCAAGAATCACAATTTTACATGGTGGACTTGCCCGGTGTCGGATACGCCAGGGTCCCGAGGCCGGTTCAAGAAGCGTGGATCAGATTTATGGAACAATACCTTCAATACCGAACAAGTCTTAGGCTGATATTTCATTTGATTGATGGTAGACATGGTGCAATGACGGATGATGAGCAACTGATGCGCCTCATCGCCGCGTCGGGTAGGCAAAAGGGCGAGTATGTTGTTGTCTTCACAAAAATGGATAAAATGGACAAGCAAAAACTGAAGCAAGCTGTCATTAATGAAACAAGATCTGCCCTTTCTCGGAATGGATGTCGTTCGGATACTCCTATTGTGATATCGTCGTCTTCCACGCGCCTCGGGAGGGATGAGATGTGGCGACATCTACAGTCTGTTCTAGTGTCTAATCCGCTACAATTTGGACTAAAAAGCCTTTAGGCTTCGCTCGACGGCTCGTTTCACGAAAACACGATTGGGTAAGGTTCAGCCAGCGTGGATGCAGAGGTTCCAGTGTTGTGCAGCATGTAAGGGTGTGAAGGTTGGACTAGTACTTCATTTAATGGACTGTCGCGAGTATCAGAGTCTTAGAAACAGACGAAATCTGAGAGGGTCGTAGTACACACACGCGTTGCCTGTTTATCACGCATCATAGTAACAAACAGCATCAACCAGTTTGTTATCTAGAAAGACCATGAGTCACAAAATAGGCCAGAGCCAGCCGCCATCGATACTATTCAGGTGAATGAGAAATCGATTTTGAGAACATCCTTGTATTTCCGATGCATTACAAGTTTTTATTTGCCACCGCTCGTACCCAAGCCAGCCATTGTCTTGAAGGTATCGTAGATCCACCATTGCAGACCTGTGAGCGTACCGATCATAATGATACGGGTGGACAGACCGCGGGTGAGAAGGTTGGAAAAGCCGACCTCCGACGCGATGGTACCGAGGGACTTGCCCTTGTTTGAAACTTTTCCAATCTGGGAAATGAGAGAATCGGCCGGATGCGACACGATGGCGCAGATGATACCGGCACTGTAACCAGACAGGAAAGTGATTCCAAGCTGGGTGTTTTTAGAGTACGACTCTCTCGGCTCGGTCCAGACGTTGGAATAGAAGAAGGCGACAGCCTTCTCAAAGAAGTAAAACTTGGCGACGGTGTAAGGGATCTGGCGACTCCAGAGCGGGACGACAGAGCCGAACGGGAAACGGGTCTCTGCGGATTGGGCCGACATCTTAGCAAGCGCAGGCCCAAATGCGGTGGGCCACGTGCCCGGCGGGGATGTCTGGACCTTGACCTTGACCATCTCCATTGGACAGAGGGCGATATCGGCAAAGAACTCTGCTGAAGCAGAACCGAGACAGAAAATGACGCCCTTGTACTTTTGAGAATTCTCCTTTCCGGCCATATTACTGTACATGTCCTTGAAATACTCGTAGAGACCGAACTTGAACAGTCCCTGCATAGAGTAGCCGATAAGAGTAGGTAACCAGCCCTTCCAAACGCCCGTTACTCCCTCTTCAGCGACCAAGGTGCGAAGGCCGGACAGCAAGCCCTTGTACTTGTTGGGATCGACCTGCATGTTGCACTTGGTGACATCGAGCGGGGTGACGGCGGCATGCGTGAGGCCGCAGGCGAGGGCGCCTCCGAACATGCACTTTGCGTAGTACGAGTTGTCATGGTGGACGGCATGGGCTTTGCGAGCGTCCCATTTGTCCGTCACCTCCGATACGGATGCGGCGATGATTTGAGAGAGCGGGGAGGTGACGGCAAGGGCGAAACGGCTGTGGGCAAAGCGCGATGCTGAGGGGACCGGGGCGAAGCGGGTGCGATCGGCGAGATGGCGCGTGTAAGCTTGCGAGGGACCGACGGCGGCGGCGAGACCGTTGCTCGCGCCGGCCGCCATGGAAAAGAGGGGGGAGGATGAGAAGCCCATCGTTGAGGTAGGCGAAGGGGGAAGGCGAGGAAGCGGATCGCAGAGGGGAGGGCGGTGGGTGGATCGAAGGCGGTATAGGGATGGGGATGGGGATGGGGGGGTGGCGAGGGTGTGTTATGGGGATGCAGCAGAATAGGGAGGAGAGATGGATGCGCGGCAATTGAGAGGAGGAGAAGAAAGTGGACCGATGGGAGGGAGCGGTATTGTGTCTCCCGTTCTTTGTTCCCGTTTCCCGATTGCGGCCCCAGAGCGCGATTGGTGCCGCTGCCCGCTGGCCACATATTTCGAGAGCTGTAATGTTTTTCTGTCTCGCGACACGAACACCAATTAAACAATGCCAGGTAGCACCCTGCCCCAATCAATTGCATTTGCGCAAAATGTGCCATTGCTCATGGTCCGTTGACGACGATCCATGTCCCTGTTCGGGCCATGAGTTTGCTTACAGCACCCTCGAAAAAGAAATTGTCAAATACTATTTGTCTGGCGCACCGCGGCGTGAATTTTTAACCCAAAAGAAAGCAAAAAGAGGGAGACACTACCGAAAGCACAAGTGGCCACGTGTTATCGTTGTCGGCGACGGTAACACTTCTGATGTCAGAAGTGTTGCAATACTACTGCAGGATTAGAAATTCTCGTTGATAAAGGCAACCTTCCGCATTCAATTTTACGGTAACAACAGTCGAAACCGCCCTGTGGCATTGATGAGACATCTCAGACAAACTAACGTGTCAGTGGGGTTGTGGTTCGTGCATCCAGCCAAGTCTACAGCGATATTTATACCCTCTTCAACTTGTGCTGACCTCCCTTTCGTGACTTGAACCTGCAACGGGAGACGAGGTCTGCCGGCACCAACACGTTAAAGTTTAGACAGCAAGGAAACCCCCTCGCGCTTCCTAGATCTCCCAGTCATGAACAATATATACAAACCTATTCACCTCAGTGGCTTTCCCAACCCGCTCAAAGAATCACCCTTGGAAAATATGTAGTACAAACAAATGTCGAGAAGACACTCATTTCCATCTCCATGAATACCTTCAAGTCCCCTGGGTTTTCACAATCTTGCACAAGAGAAGGATAGTTGTAGCCTTGATCCTGCTGTGTTTTTGTATACCTTTGAACAAGGTACACTAGCTAGGATTTTTCTGTTCTCTGTGAAAAATAGAGTACCAATCAAACTTGCTACTTGTTTTACATATGCAGCTCGTTTGACGGCAGGAGCATCATGGGCAAACAAAGCAACCGTTTTCGCAAGCCGCAGAGCCAAGGCGACTGAAAACACTACCACAGTCTAGTAAATGGTAGTGGATCCAAGAGTTAGTGGAAACATCTCGCTGCTACCGAAGGCTGGGCCAGAAACAGGGAGGGCATGGACAAGAGAATGGCCATTTGTGCAGGCAGCGAAGTTTTACTCTTTTGGCTTCGAGGAGCTCCAAACATTCGTCAAGCACGTGCCCCGAAAAGGGGCCGTTGTACTTGGTGTTGGATATGCTATTTCCATTCTTTACGGCATTGAAGCACTGTGTGAAAAGCAAATTCAAAGACCAACTAACGAAGAATGAACTAATTGCACAAAGCAAACATACGTTAAAATCTATCAATGAGACCCTCCACTGTGTCCTGAATACTTCCAAACTTATCTTCTAGACCAGCTTGAATTTTCTTCAAGGTGTCTTTGTGTGCATGAGGTTTTGGCTTGGCTTTTTGGTCACTTCGCGGTGGTGTAGAACTGGCGGGGCGACGTCGTGATTCACGGCTGTCAGACAACGATTCTGGGTTAGACCCTCGTCTCGGAGCGGCCCGACCCGGTCGCGCGTGACTGCTAGCAATGCGGGGCTTGAGCTTTGCGTTCTGAATCTTTGACTTCGGGTCGTCAGACTCCACGTGTGACCTTCGATCGCTTTCGCTACTGAGGTCACTTTCGTGTACTTTGGCAGTCGCTGTGATTGGACCCACAACCTTCACAGGTGCGGGGATTTCACTTTGTTGCGGACTGCCAGGGTAGCCCACTGGTTTCTTATGACCAGGACGTGCGGTGGGTTTGGGCCTACTCGGAACCTTTGGCTTCTCAACAAATGGATTTGCGCTTGCACGCATCGGTATGTTCGGGATCTGCACTGAAGGGTCGTTATCACCAAGAGTATTCAACAACCCGATAGCATTGTTCATGTTGGAGGCAACATTGCTTGGATTTGGGGGAGCAACAGTCGGCGCACTTGTCGCGCGCGAATACGCATCAATAAACCGCTCTGCTAATCTCATTTGCATGGCTTCTTGCCCTCCTGGCTCGTTCACCACTTGTGCAACACCCCTCAAAGCATTTGCAACTGCTTCTCCTCTTTCCTCAATGGCATGGGCTTCTCCGATGGCTTGATTAACAATCTCCAGCTGACGCGCTTGAGAAGCCTTCACTTGTGCTTGAAACTCTGCTTCGGCTGTGTTGACGGCTTCGATTCGATCAGCCTCAGCCTGCAATTCAGCCATACGATGCTGCCTCTCTTCTTCCTCTTCCTCTTCAAGGCGCTCCTGAATCTCCATCGGGACTTCTAGGTCGCGTAATTCAAACTTGAGACACCGAACTCCCCACGCGCGACATGTGTCATTAATCTCATCCAAGATGCGATCACCAATTCGAATCCTGTCCTGAAAGCCTCTCTCTTTCGTATATCTTGCCATTTGATTTCTAATCAAGGTCTGCGCAAGAAGCACAATGGAATGGTATGGGTTGTCGACGCTATAAGAGGCGGCCACAGGATCTTCAACACGCATGTAGAGCATGGCATTCGCTCTGAATGGGACGTTGTCGCTCGAAAAGCACTCTTGCCATGGGACAGGTACGGCCAATTCCTTCATCGAGTGGCAATATGCAATCTTATCGCTCACAGGGTTGACGAAATTACTACCAGAATTGAGCTTGCGATGATACCTCCCCCCCCTTTCAACAATGCAGACTTGGTTGGGAGGGACCCTGACATTGAATAAGCTTGTAGCAGGAATAGGCGGCGGTCGATAGACTGGGTCTGCATAGTAACCGGGTAGACTTTCATCTTCCGCGCCCCCTTCGTTATCTGAGTCTCCCTCGGTACCACCACCACTCTCCAGCTTTGCCCGTTCCTTCTTCTTCTTCTTACTCGACAGTAATTTTTTCGCCGCAAGGCCAACCCCGAACGCAAGTAGAGTGGCAAGGCCAGCCTTGGCGACCTTTTTCTTTGTGAAGATTCTGCCCCCACTCGAACTTGAATCACTCTTGCTGTCACTGTCACTATCGCTCGACTTCTTCTTCGACTTGTGACTCTTCTTAGACGAACTCTCGTCGTCCCCGCTCCCTTCCTCGCCGTGCGGCCGGTGCTGTCCTTGCTCCCCATGCTCCTCATGGTGTCGCTTGCGGCGCCTACGGCGGCGTCGATGTCCTCCATGGTGGCGACGATAATGCCGATGGCGCTTCCGCCGATAGTATCCGTTCCTTTCATAGCGGTCTCTCCGCACCCTGTCCTGATACTCGTCCGCCAGAATCCTATCATCCGGCACGCGGTCACCCAGCGTATCTCTCGGGTCGCGTGGGTCGGGCACCGGCGGCAGGTGATGGCCGGGCGGGAGCGGCGGCGCTATGCCCTGGTAATGCGGCGGTCCAGGCGGGACGTTTATCTCGACGCCGTCGCCGGGCGCCATCGCCAGCGGGATGGACGACGACGGCATGTACATGCGCGGGGCGTCGTAGTCGGCATCGCGGGCAGTGGACGGCTCCGACGGCAGCGCACGGGCGCGGTCAGGGCTGTAGTGCGTGCCGGACGGGTACGGGGCGTCATGGTCGGGCATTGCGCGTGCGCCGTCGCGCGCGCGCGAGGAGCGGGGCGCACCCGACGAGGGGTACTCCGTGCGCTTGTACGGGTAGGCCGGCGGGGCGGGGGCGGGTTCGTTGGCGTAGTCGGTGCGCCTGTACGGGAGTTCGT